TCATCAAGCACTGTCACCAGGACCTAGCTAGCCAGGCTGATGAAGCACAGGGTGTTCTGCTGGGTCTCATCATGGAAAACAAGCTGGAAGTCACAAACTGCTTTCCATTCCCAAGGAGCATAGATGGTGTTGATGATGGTATGTGCATTGTGTTTTCATTTCAGCCATGTTGATGGTGGCACATATTCTAAGCAAGGTGTGGCCAGCATGAGGGTTTGTGTCTGAGAAACCACACATATCTTACCTGTCTATTGCAGTCAGTTAGCAAGTGGCCTGGATGGTTATGCAAAGTTGGGGTGATGATGATCATGCATTACATACACTCAAAATATAGAACTGATGTTATGTTGCACTGGTGGTAAGATGGGATCGCCACACTTTATGATCTGTGGGGCTCAGTGACGAGAGTATTAGTGGGATCAGCACACTGCATCATCTCTGGGCTGATGGTTAGAGTAGCATTAAACAGCTGAATTTTTCAAGCCTGTCAAACTTAATGTGTGCACATTGAACACCATAAAATGAGGAACTTGCATTCCTCCATTCCCTCTTTACAGTTGTTGGATATGTTAATGGCAAGCTGAAGGGAGCATCAATTACCAAGGTGTTACCTTTAAGGTGAAATATTCCAGTTCCATGGCTTTCATTTTTCGGGCTTTTTCTCCGAAAATCCACCTTCCATAGCTGGCTATGTTTGACTACATTGTGTTTGTACTGGGACGTGTTCGGCACAGGCCCGGGGTAGGACGCGAAACCCGCAGCCATCTGCAGCCATGCCATCAGACCATTTAAAGCACTGTGCGCCACTGAGAAGACAGCCTGCGGCGACCGATGCAGTGTCATCGGGCTGACAGTGCCATCAGATGTGACTTTTGTTGGCGCCGTCGGCCTTTTTTCGTGCTGCGGTGTGGGTGTCGGTGCGTGTGCTGACTCGGCGCCGCGCGGCGCGACACAGAGCGCTACCAGCTGGACATGATGCGGCTGCTGCGGCTGGTCAACGTGGACTACCTGTCGGTCGGCTGGTACCAGAGCGCCTCCAGCGGCAACTATATCAGCCGCCAGCTGCTCGAGTCGCAGTTCCAGTACCAGGACTCCATCGAGGAGTCGTTCGTCATCATCTACGGTACGTGTGCCGCCCGCCCGCGCGGCAGCCGCGGACGAAGCCGTGCCGCTAGTGGTCCCTCATGAAGCGTTTTGTATGAGCAGGCAGTCGGAGGAGGTGGTGGCATGTTTGAGACTGTTTAAAATGAATGTGGACCGAAATCTGTGTTGGGCCGGTTGTTGGTTGGTGCAGCACTTACGGCACGGACACGGATACGGTAGTTTTAGTGTGGGGTTCTCGTCGTCTCTCGTCACATTATAGAAGCCAGGATCATTATTTCGGTGTAAGGTAAGTTTTACGTTGGTTTGCGGGCCCTGTGTTGTTTGTTTTGTCAGCGGTAGCGGGCGAGACGTGTGCAGCCTTGGCAGACTGGTGTGTGTGGTCTCGCCGTGTATCCCGAGCCGCGTTCTGTTGAGGTCGATTGACGGTGTGTGGATGGGCGGCGGTGCTCAACAGACCCAATGAAGACGGCCGCCGGCTGCCTGGCCATCAAGGCGTACCGGCTCACCAAGCCGGCCATGGAGATGGTCAAGGAGAGGGGCTACTTCAACTTCGACATGCTCAGGACGCTCAAGATCGGTCACGAGAACATGTTCCAGGAGCTGAAGGTCAGACTGGTGGGCGGTGCGTGGGCGTGCAGTCTGCTGAGCCTCATCGTGGGCGGATGGTACGCGCGCGGTGCCTTTAAGCTTCGGCAGGACGTTGCGTGTTCTGGCACCGCTTCTTTATGGCGTGGTAGAAGAAATCGCGTTTTTTGTCATCGGCCGTCATTAAGGCTAACAAGACGTAATTAATCATCGCTAAATCTGACTGAAGAAACATTCTGAAAACACGAATAGGAATTGCAACAAAAAGATGCAACTTTGCGCAGCTTTTGCTAAAAAATGCGACTTTTTTACCAGGGGTATTTTTTACGCTGTGGCGAGCACGCAAAGGTCTGGCATTGCCTTCGATTAAACTGTTGTGGTGCTTAATTACGGTGACGTGCTGTTTCACAGCTAAAGAAGTTTACCAAGAGTTATAATGTGATCATAATCGTATGAATGTAATGAAACATTAATCATAATATATATATATATATATATATATATATATATATATAACATTAATCATGATATATATATATAATTTTATAAATATCTATGCATACATTGTGATGTCGCGCATGCGACCTGTCCGCTACGTTATAACGCTACTGCGGGAATTCCCTGCCACGGTGTGTATGATCAAAACTGGCTGGCCTCCCATGACCAGTGAAGACGTTGGAGAAATGTGGTGTCAAAATAGTTGTGGCTGGAAAAATATCATGCCTTGCGAATCAAATGGGGTGCCACCATTTTCACCTACGGTTTAAAATAATCTGTGACTTTTTCAACGCCTTCGAGTCGAATTGCATTAAGCGATGCACCGGTCTGCTCTCCGAACATGCTTTCATCGTATTGTTGGTCACATATGATAAAGCCTAGCGCGGCTGTGACGGTAGCGTCTCGGCGCCGTCGCTGCCTGCCTGCCTGCCTCCCTCCGCTGGCGGCGATCGCCGCTCTCGCCCGGCGAGCGGCACGTGACGTGCGGCCCGGCCTCCGCAGGTGGTGGTGCGCAACTCTCACCTGGTGAACGCGCTGCTCTCCGAGCTGAGCGAGGTGTTCCCCGAGACGCGTAACCTGGAGATGATGGATCTAGGCACCGCGTGAGTCTTGATCGGAGGGCGCAGACTGGGCGTTAAGAGTGGGTCGCTTGTAACGGTCTGATACTGCAGTGTTTGTAGCGTCTGTCCTTGTGAAGCTCCGTTATGCACGGCTGCAGCGGCGGCTCGGCGCTGGTGCCGGCTGGCCTTCTGAACTGAGCCGTAGGGGCCAGGCTAGCGGGGGCACGTCTTTGTATCAAATCTTGCTGGATCAGACCAGTAGGGCGCCGCCAGCGCGTGAAGCCGTTCGCTGTTGGCTTAACATGAGAGCCACGAAATGCTCAACAAATTAATTTAATTCTGAACATGGTCCGGCGGACAAATTCAAGTGTATGAGATAGCAACTGGTTGGTTGGTAAGTAGGTCGAATGCGCACTAAAGCTCCGTGCGGCGCTCTATGTGAGCGCTAACGCCTCTGTGTCCAGACCGTCGTCCGAGCCTACTCTACGGCCCTCAGGCCCGTGCTGCAGCGCCATCTGCGCAGCATCATGGACTGCACGGACGAGATGTCCCAGTTCCACCAGTTCCAGAAGCAGACGGTGAAGCAACAGCTGGAGAAGCAGCGGTACACGCAGCGACGGGTGAGCAGCGCGGCCGGAGGTGGCCGGGTGACCGCGGGTGGCGCGTGGCGGCGCGGGCCCGGCCGCCGCAGGGCACAGATCGGAGATATGAACGAGGGGGGGGGGGGACTGATTGTATCCGCATAACCAGTGCTGTGAACACACAGTTGACGGAACAACTTATGTGATACTGCCTGGATTATGTGATTCCCTGATCGGTGACTGGGTTTGTATCTCTCCTGGCATGAGAGCCGGACTTCACTGTGCCGCAAGTTGTTACGTTCTGACAGCCCAGCCCAGTTTGGGCCAGGTTTGTCTGAAATCAGCTGTCGAGTCCCCTCATGCCAGCTGATCCTGGCCCCCATTGCGCCTGAGTTTGAGCCAGTCTTGAGACGTGCCGGCCAGCTGACGCCGCCTTCCCACGCCCGCCAGAACGTGGAGAACGCGGCGCGGAAGGCGCGCGGCGAGCCGCCCCTGCCCGACGAGGATTTCAACTTCAAGCCGATCCAGCCGCCTCGCGACCTGGAGGCGGGCGTCATCGTCGGCGGCCAGATGGCCATCTACTGCCAGCAGATCAACGACTTCTGCTCGCAGGCGCTGGCCAAGCTCTTCTTGGTCGACTCGCTCCACCAGAACCCGGCGCCGCGGCCGCTCGGCCAGTAGTGGCGCCACCTGGGCGGCACGGCTCGCAAACTGCCGCTTGCTGGTGGCGGCGATGGTGGCGCCCGCTTCGCCCGCTCGTTTGGTTTCACGCCCGGTGTGGGTTTGCCGCGTTATATGTGGGGAAGACGGTCAATACACGTGCTATCCGTTTTGAGGTGGCTTTGATATGAATATGTTGCGGCGGAAAACAGGCCAGTGATGTCATGTTTGCACGTCGACCCATGAAAAGTAAGTTTGATTCTTGGTGCCACTGATATTTTTTTAAGAACTAAGCACGACGAAATTTTTTAGCGGTTTGATAGTTTTACACGTCATGATATGACTGGTTTGAGGGCCATTCAGCACGCCCACGAAAAAACTAAGATGTTGAAAAGGCTAATGCTTTTTAGTTTTAGTGTTAGTTCAGGTTTTATATTTTGTGAAAGCCCTCTTGCTGTCAGTTTACTACATGATGTCCGCCTGTGTACCTCGTGCGCACCATCGCTGTTATTTGATTGCTTTGTAACAGTAGGTTGAAGGTCAGCTGCGAGCCGGCGCCTACACGGCTGTTGTAGCTGGCTGCTGTCGTTCTGTCGCGCCTGAGGTAGATCGCCGCATCGTTACGCCATCGGCCCCGCCGCCGTGCGCGACGTTGAGCTGCTGGTGTGACCCTGCAGCTGGTGTTCGCCTGCCGTGGCAGCAGTGGTGAAAAACGGGCGTCAGCTTTGTATACGGTCTGAATTTTTTGCTTTCCTAGTTTGACTGCACTCGCATGCTTCTCTCGTCAGATTAAGTCAAACAAAATCCAATCGGGCCTTTCCTCTCGCGGTGTAGTAGTTCGGTTGCTTGATGGTGAACGCGATTCTCAATCTGACCATCCACTTCTCAAGAGGAGGGTCAATCACCTGAGGCGATCCCATAACCTTGGTTGACCTGCCTCTTCGCCGAACTTTCATCTGTTTATACATGCGACAACAGCTGCACACTGAAGTGTCCAGCATTGCGCTGGACAGATGTTTAGACTGCCGCTACCGTGGGAGGATTCCGCCAGCAGGCCTCGCCCCACGCAGGGGCAGGGGCCTGGACTTTGTGCCGGCGCAAGGGTTGGGCCCTAACCAGGGCGGCAGTGAAGCCGGCTCATGACGCAACAGCCGTAACCTGCCCTGGAAGGACGGGGACGCTGCTGGGATCCGGTATGGAACGGGAAATGAGGAAAGAGGAGTGTGTGGTCTGAAGACAACAGCCTGGTGTACACCTAGAAACGTGTATGCAACATCGAGATACGGTCGGTCGTGGCGCTGAAGCCGGGTGTGTCGGCGACCGCGAACAGAGCTACCCTCCAACACCTGGCTCGGTTGATCGCCGCGGCTGCCTCCTCTGATCCGCTGCTGCCACCCGCCAACAAATAACACGCGCGTGAATGAACGCGTACCCCTGTCACCGACGGCACGGGGCTCGCCCGCTCCATCCCGGCGCGGCACGAACAACGAGCGGGTGACGCGGGCGGTGGGCCAACTCGAGCTGTCAGTACCGCTGCCTGCCGCTAGATGGCAGTGGAGCTGCCGTTGAGGTCCGCCAGCAGCTGCGATATCGGCACGCCTCCCAGCGCCCGCTTGAAGAACACCTCCTGCAGGAACGTGCCGGACACGGTCCGCAGGGACGAGAGCAGCAGGAGCAGGCGGCCGAACCGCGCCTACCGACGGACGCTGACGTCACTACACCGACGGACGCTGACGTCACTACACCGACAGACGCTGACGTCATTACACCGACGGACGCTGACTCATCACGCTGATGGACGTTGACGTCACCACACCGATGGACGCTGACGTCACCACACCGATGGACGCTGACGTCACCACACCGATGGGCGATGACGTCACCAGACTACTGTAGCAGTGCACCGCGCCTCCGATGTGGAGACGCGAGCTTCAGCGCCGTACGTCTCGTAATTGGTTAATTGGTCATTCCTCGACAAATGGCATGCAAGATGTCAGTAGCCCTGGCAAGGTCACTGGGAGCAGACTGTTAAGGCTCTGCGGGCTGGACTTTAACATGACGCCTGTGGGAGCTGAATATAAATAGGCTTAACAGAAATAAATAGAAAAAATTCAGGCTTCGAGCGCAGCCTCCCCGCAACTCTAGACATGTGATGGGAACTCACGTGAGCAACTTAGATGCTGAGGGGGGAGGCAGCCATGCTTGATCACGCTAAGCCTTTGATGCGCCGCACATTTGTCCTTAGTCATCGCTCCAGGTTTTACGAGCCCGAGACACGCGCCCCTATTTCCTCACCCACCGCTTCATCCGAAATCCCCGTAACTCCCCGTTAACCCGAGGCAAGCTGAAACATCAGCCTGGAGCGGGCCCATGACGGGTGAGCCGCCCAAACGTCCGAACACAGCCCAGAGAGGCTTCCCGTTCGGGCTAAGTCCCAGCCACACAGTACCGCCAGATGGCTGCGGCTGTTTCCCGGGTCACTCTCTGTGTCCCTTCATTCCAAAGACATGAAATGGTTATTGCTGGCCGAAAGGGCCCTTATCCCAGCTAAACCAAGCCAGGGTCCGTGTACCAGGATTTAAGCTTACCTTGGCCGCCATTTTCTGAGAGAAAACATACTCGTACAGCATCAGGTGGGTCTGATCCTGCAGAATTTCAATGTATTTGGGGTCTCGTACCGACTTCACCTCTGAAACAGCACATCACACGTAAGACCTCGAAGTTAGGTATGGTGCAGCCGCCCGCTAAATCGATAAAACAAGTGCATAGTGGAGATAAAATACTGCACAAATGGATCACTAAGTCTCTGGCGGACCCAAGCCAGCACGCATAACCACATCATCTACTGTATGTGAGTACCTGCCCTCGGTTACCACACGGAGCGCGGCGCGGCGCCCGTGTTCATCAGACCGCACCTGGTTTGAAGAGCACCAGCGCCCGCAGGCAGGCGTACTCGGTGTGATCGACCTTGAGGTCGGCGAAACGCTGGATGATGTCGATGAGCCCGGCCAGCTGCCGCTCCAGCTCCGGCTGCAGGCGCGGACCGCAGGCGGCCGCCAGCTCCGACGCTGAAACACGGCCCGGTGCTGAGACACGGTCCGGTGCTGAGGCACGGCCTCGGTTGCTGAGACACGGCCTCGGTGCTGAAACACGGCCGGGTGTTGATACACGACCTCAGTGCTGAGACACGGTCCGGCGTTGAAACATGGCCTCGGTGCTGAGACACCGCCCAGCGCTGAGACGGTGCCCCGGTGCTGAGACACGGTCCGGTGCTGAGACACCACTCCGGTGCTGAGACACGGTCCGGTGCTGAGACACGGACCGGTGCTGAGACGCCGCTCCGGTGCTGAGACGACGCTCCGGTGCTGAGACACGGTCCGGTGCTGAGACGCGGCCCGGTGCTGAGGCGCGGCCCGGTGCTGAGACGCCGCTCCGGTGCTGAGACGGTGTCCTGGTGCTGAGACACGGTCCGGTGCTGAGACACCGCCCCGGTGCTGAGACACGGTTCCTTGTGCCAAGACACGTCTCCCGTGATGGAGCATGGCCGAGCCGCCGTCTGCCGTCGAACCCGTCTGATGCGGACACCCGGCCGAGCTGATCCTCACAGACGGCCGCGTCCGCTCGCGACAAACTGCCAAACCAAGGACTTGGCAAAGCAAGGGCTGGAGGGCAGACATCATGGAGCGAAGTGCAATGCTGCACACACCGCCTTGTCTGCCGTGCACTCGCCAGTCAGGACAGCTCAGAGAGATCCAGAGAGTCAGGGAAATGGGCTTTACGATCATCCGAGAATAGGAGATTGGGCCGAGCGTTGGTTATGACGTCAAAAGATCCGATAAAAGGAGATTGGGCCGAGCGATGTTTATGGCATCAACAGATTGCACTGAACAATCATCACGTCGTGAGGACATTGGTCTGGACGGTCATGACAATGTCATGGGCGCACCTCCGAGCGACCATCACCAGATCACAAGGTTGAACCAAGTCAACCTTGTGAACGACCTTGGCCGCCGGGCAGCGGTCGAAATGGACGTACGGCTGTCGATGACAAGAGGCCACTGGGCGGCGCTGATGACGAACAGCTCACTCCAGCTGGCTTCCAGCAGCGCACTCTGCTCCAGTCGCGACATCTGTCGGCCAAACGATGAACTAATATCACTTCCGCCAAACCCTCGCATCGGTTAAGATTTGTTAATACCCATACGAACATCTCACCGCAAATACTTAACAGGGTGTTGATGGTTGGGTCGGTGAAAGCAACAGCTATACCTCGTAACAAAGGAATGGAGGAGACTGCAAGGCATTTACCAATAGCATCATGACTACTCAGTTTCGGTGTGGTTGGTAGTTCTGGCGCTATGATGCAATGTAAAAAGTTGCCTTCATGTGGCAATGCATCGACAGAATGAGCCTTATCATAGATGACTATAACATCAGATGCGACTGTAAAACCCAATGCAACCAAATCGTCTTGCTGAGGGGGTTTCCTTTGGCACCAAAACTTGCCTGAGCCATGTTGATGAGAAATGCGTTTAAATTCGAGTATATCTACACCCATGTGAACCCACCACTCGAGCTCGTCCAAATCCTAGGCACCTGTGGTCCAAGCAGCAAAGCACATGTTTCCATCACTTCGCCGTTAGTCTGTCGACCAGCCGCAGGCTGCAACGCCATCTGACCTGTATAAAAGATGGTATGGTGTGTGCCCAGCGCACGGCCAGGAAGAGCAGCTTGGCGGCCGTCTCTAGAGCTGCCTCGGACGGCCGCGAGGTGGCCGGGTGCAGCTCATCAGATGGACGTCTGTCGGCTGTTAGGCAGGGACCTGCCGCCAGCCGACCCTCCTCTGAAACACACGCGGACGGCAGCGTCAGGTGGGCTGTTCCACTGTGGGGTGGCAGACGGGAGCGCACCTCCAGGCTACCCCTTCTCTGGAGCAGACTGCGGTGAGGTACATCTGTAAGGCTGCATCCTGTTTTGGGCTTGTGTAATCTTTTTTTGGTTTATTTCGAAGCCATGTAATGTGCATACCCGCTGACATAAGCTCTTTGGGAGAAGGAGAGGGTTCTTAAACACTCTTTCGTAACCTATCTCCAGTTAAGGCACCAAGATCACAGTGGACCCAGTCTGCTGCCACACCCTCAGAAACAGTACATAGGGCAGGAGAGGTACGACCTCCTGAAATAATTCCAACCATTATTGACGCGGTCCCTTTCACCTCCTGGTGCACGTGCACGTCTCCAGGCCTCCTCGAGATGGCCTGAACCTCTCACCGGCGGAGGCGGTCGGCTGCTCGGGCGCCGGCGAGTCGTCTACGCGAACCACGTCGATCTGCGAGCTAGAGACCTCCTCCTCCTCTGCGCGGCGCGGCGGAGGCGGCGGAGGCGGTGGAGGCGGTGGCGGCGCCGCCGCGGTCGGCGACCACAGCGTCGCCGCCGGCCGAATCGGCGTGAACGCCGAGCCCGCGTACGAGCCGAGGAACGGCGGCGGCACCAGCGGGAACGGCCGGAACGCCGGGAACGGGCCCGGGTAGGGCGCGAACGGCGCGAAGGCAGGCCCGGACAGCAGGAGCGGCGTGGTGCCCTCCGGTGGCAGCAGACTCGGCTGGCGCTTCACGCAGGAGCGTGGAGCCCTCTCGTGCTGCACCGCTGCCGGCCGAGCGGTTCAGGTGAAGGGCGCGGGTGGTAACGTCAGGGGATACCACTGGTAACATCTGGGGATACCACTGGTAACGTCTGAGGATATCACTGGTCACGTCTGGGCTACCACTGGTAACGTCTGGGGTACCACTGGTCACGTATGGGCTACCACTGGAAACGTCTGGGGATACCACTGGTCACGTTTGGGATACCACTGGTAACGTCTGGAGATACCACTGGTCACGTCTGGGCTACCACTGGTAACGTCTGGGGATACCACTGGTCACGTCTGGGGATACCACTGGTAACGTCTGGGAATGCTACTGGTTACGTCCGGGGATGCTACTGCTCACGTCTGGGGACACCACTGGTATCGTCTGGGGATACCACTGATCATGTCTGGGGCACCACCGGTCACGTCTGGGGATACCATTGGTGTGTTAGTAGTTACTACTGGTCGTAACACCGAGGCAATGGAAACCACAGAAAAAACAGTAACATTAGAGTTCTCTATCAACATCAACTTCAGAACGAGGTGACAGGGAACGAGGGATACCACTGGTAGCATCAGGGTTCATCATTGGTAATAGCAGTGAGCCATACGTGAACCATCAGAGGATTTCAATGGCACAGGAGAAACCTGGGTGCAGTGACCTCGTCCACGAAAAATTCTGCTTTTGGACCCGATACCACCGTCAAAGAAACCATTCGCCCCACCACCGCATTATGCAGCATAACGAGACACACTAATGCTTTGATAGAAGTCAAATGGTGTTCAGACTGGTAACCAGACAGAATCAGACTGGTAACTGGACAGTTTCAAGACGGCAAGACAACACCAACAAGGCGAAGGGATGCAAACGGCAAGGTGGGGTCATGCACAGTTTATGAGAAAGAGCACAGTTACTCGCTGAGAAAATCAAAGATAAAATCGTAAAAGCCGCTTTCGCCACTTTTGTGATTGTGCCATAATATGGCCATAAAAATTATGTGGCCATACAATTTTTACGGTGTGGCCATAAAAATTGATCAGAAAGACCCTACTGTCTCCATTTTCCTGCGAGCAGTTCGCTTACATTTTCCGACATTGTCATCTAATGTCTCTAATGTTATTCCGCCGCAGCATAAACCTTGGAGCATCGACCCGCGCTGCATCAAATACAGAACTTCTCGAAAGTTTCGCCAGCCGCCGACGCAGCGTCGGGCCGACTCGCTACACGCTCGTCACCGACCGTTCGCGAGCCTCGGACGTCACTCACACGCCTCTATAAGAGCACGCGCCGACCGACGGCCGCCGCGGCGCGAAATTCGAGTTGCCTATTACTGGTGAATGGTCCATATTTAATGTGGACTCCTCATCAAACATGGATGTGTTGGGCGAGCGGTGGCTTTTCAATGACCTTTCACCCCCAGGCTGGCGGCCATTGTGGTCGCCAGGCTGTTTGCAGAACCGCGAGCGCCGCGCTGGGGGGAGGGGGGAGGGGGACGACGGCTGTCGGTAAATATGCCGACGTCCTTTCACCGATGGAGTACCTGCCACCGGGGCAGACAGCGCCGACAGCGGCTCAGAGGGACCGGCCGGCCCGGCTGCCCGCGCGACCGCGCGCCGACTAACGACGCCGGTAGACAAGGACGTAAGCGCCGGCGAGCATTTGGCAAATTTGGCTGCTCGTCACCGATATGGAAGCTACCGCCCAAGGACTCGCGATTTGCAACGACGGGGATGACAGGATTGACGGGGGCTCGGAGCTTTTAAGAAGCGAGTTCCGACTCACAATCATGTTATCTACGCACCGCGAACAGACTGTGCAGACGAGCCCTTATAGGTACGCAGTACCTAGCTGTCTGCAGGTAATCATTGGTTTGCCTTGGCGCCGCGAACAATTGTCCCAGTTGCGCAGTGTGACATGTCCACTCGGTTATCCTCTGGCCTTATCACTACATTGCTGTTGTTTGGTGCGACGCGTTACTACTCATGGTAGTCAATAACACATAGAGTCAAAACAAAGTCCTGATCAGCAAACTGCTGAACTACTTTCAAGAGTGTTGCAATTGAAAAGCTTCGCTCAAACCTGACGGTTTGGGGTTAAAGTTTTCGAAATACACTACATGAAAAATATCTAGCTCGATAATTTGACAGCCAAAGTCTAGTTGAGTTTTAATCGTGGAACTATTTATCGGTCTCGACTCAGCACCTGGCAATGATGTAGGTACGCCACGAATAATGCACTGCATTGCTGGCACGTACGCGATTTACGCGTATTTCCTAGCACCCATACTAAAACCAAGATCTTCATCCATAATCACGGTGTAGATACCGAACAGCCGCAGATGAGAAAAGTAAATGCGTTCACACCGCATGCATAGGGAACGTAGTGCAGAAATATTCTGCGTGGACTTTCATCTCCAAGTCACATGAGCAGGCGCAAGGCTTTCAAGTGCTCGAGGAGAGCGCAGGCGTGGTCAGCCGGACCGGCACCAGCTCTGCTCGGGAGTGCGGGCCGTGAGAGCCGGCCGCTGGCGGGAGGTGTGAGAGTGCCGTTTGCCGACGCCACATGAACGGGTCAGGCGTCAATACGGCAGGCGCCAGCGGCGCCCGCCGGCCGCGCGCCGAAACTCGGCCCTCGTATATCAATAGTCCGCTGTTGTGGGTGTCAATAAAGCGGCTGATCGATGACTATTAGGTAACAGGAGACAATCCGGCCGCACCTGATCGGTTCTCACAGCGCGGTGGCGCCGGCCGATCGGCGCCGGCACTGCCGTCCTGGTGAGCGCAGCGAGAACTAACGCCCACCCGTAGCGAGCGAGTTGGCTGAAAGGACTGGGGCTCTCAGAAGGCCTCTCGGCTCGAGAACGCACTGGGCGCCGGAGGTTGTTGCGTCCCGCTGGGCACACAGTTTCTGACTGATTCTGTGTGTTTTTATTTTTCGAACTTGCTTTTATTGTCCTACCCATCGCACAGCGTCCCCGGTCTTCCGGAGCGTCGGTGTAGACCGCTGGCCCCGGCCCGCAGCGCTGATGCTAGTTGGGCTGCTGAACTCCGCGGTTTCTCGCTCATGTCAGCCCCAACCGGTTTGCCCCCAAAGTACGTCGGTTGCTAATGTAACTGCGCCAAAATTTCACGCCTTTTTCACGCTTTCAAAATTTCACGCGATTATGTCAAGCGCCACTTAGTCTGTCTCGAAGAAGACCCATCGCCGATCGCAGCGGTGATTCTTACCTTCTCTGCGCATGTTCACGTTGAGACACTTTGAGAAGCGGCACGCCTGGCACTGGTTCCTCCGAGCCACGTCCACCACACAGCGGCCGCTCTCCTTACAGACGTACTCCAGGTTCCTGCGAGTGCGCGCAAGTCCCTATTGTGAACAAACCTACCACAGTTACCTACAGCTGCTTGCCAATGTACAAGGCGTGACACAATATTTAACAAGCAAGGGTGGCGGTTTGACCACATTACCACGAGATAATTGAGGAGGGAAGGTATGGGGATGCTGCTGATTCACAAACATCGGCGCAGGAACTATCGTGTTATAGGGCATTCGGTGGTCTCCAGCCCCCCCCCCCTCCCCCAACATTTGGATCAAATAGCACTGAACATGTGGAAGTGCATGGAAAGAAGCGACTTAGCAACGCCTCTGAGTCGCCTAACCCTGGCCATCCCCCCGCTCCCGTACGCCAGTCATAAGCAGCAAGGTCCTCGTGAGTCGTGCGCTGGCGCCCATGCGCGGCCTGCACAATCGCCGCCAATGTCACGCGCCCGGCGGCCCCCGGGACAGGTGCACTGGACGGGAGGGGGGGGGGGGGCTGGCTGACAGCCCGGAACAGGCGGGAGCCGCGGCCGCCCGCCGCGCGCCGACTTCGCAACAATGCTACAGATGAGCACCGCTGACCGATCGTAATTCAATATCGCATTCATCAGCGGTGGCGGAAGCGGGCGGCGCTTCCGGGCGTGCCGTCAAGGATGCGCCAGCGCGGCAGGGGTCGGCCGGGGTCATCAGGTGTGACATGAGCGGTCATCAGGGGTCATCAGGGGTCATCAGCAGTCATCACAGGCCGTCGGGGGTCGTCAAAGGTCCAACCGTTGGCGCAGGGGCACAACGACAAAGTCGGACCGGAGTGGACCTGGCAACAGGGTTATGGACGTCTACTAGCAAAGGCAATCTTATTGGCGCCGACCTTGTCGCTCGGAGTGACCGACCATTGGAGAGATAGCGCCTTTGTTGGTGATGCTCGACTCGTGGGCATTCGTGGGCCAAAGTTGAACTGTGTCAGGTTCGAGTTCAGTCCATTGTAACCTTTATAGGGGCAAAAGTATCAGGATTTATTTATTTCGCCAACTTTATTTGCAATATACAATATGTAGGTTTGGTCAACGCATTGATGTCAATAGGACTGAGGCTGAGACACAGGTAAGCCGCTCATTTATTAGTAGTCCCTGTCCAATAACAAAATCTTCTGACGGTAGCGTTATTAGGCAGAGGCCTTATTTGGTGCCACATTTAAATGCTCGAAGAATGAGAGCAGCAGGAGCGAAAACCATGGTTGGTCTCCAGGGTAATCAAAATAATCGTGAATTTTCCATGTGAGGGCGTTTTGTTTCATCGCCGTGCACTGCCTCGTCATTTCACGTTCGCAGTACTTTACAAATTTGCCCAATGGAACCAAAAACGCAAGCGTAAGATAACAAATTCGTACATGATGACGAAACCAAAACGTTTCCAGAATAATGCTTACCGGCTATCTTGAAAGGCTCAGCTATAAACGATGGGTTTCATCCCCTGTTTATCCTGTGTCCCGTGCATTTCACGATTAGATGCTTGCGACTGACGGCGGGACCAATTTACTTGTCATTGGAATAGCGTTTGCGTGAAAAGAGCTAAAGCACACTTTTTCCAGAATCTCTCATGCACGCTGATAGTGGCTCCAAGCCGCACTTACTGGTTCCTGGCGTCCAACTGCTTACCTTATATGCTTAACAGTGTGAAAAGAGAAGGAACAGAGCCCAGTGAGCAATGCGTAGAAAATAAGAAGTTGGCTTCAACTCCACTCGAAATGGCTTAGAAATTTGCATGAACGGTATGTCGGAGCCAGTTAACTGGGTCACGTTAGTTAAATGACTCCATTTATATTTGGACAGCTGGAGTCAGGTGTGAAATCAGCTCAAACTTGCAAGAGTTGGTCGGAGTTGGACTCAAGCAGAGTCCCAGCCGGTTTTCTTAAATCGGAATCGAGCACAGGTACGTGTCAAGGAGGGTCAAGCATGCGCTCCTGTTGATCCGACGGTGAACGTACATCAGGGTGAAGCGGTCCTCCACCTGTCAAAACAGAATCCCTCCACAGCTGAGTCTGACCCAGCGCGTGTAACCCTCCTCCCACCACGTCCAGCCGACGTCCGAATTCAGTTCGGTATCACTGACAGCAGGGTTCTGCCGACGGCCGCGATGTCGCGGCGCCGGAGCGACCGCTGCTCACTGCCGTGGTCCCGGACGGACCGCCGGCTGGCGGCGGCCCGTTCAAAGGCGGCAGCCTCGCCGCCACCCCGACCCAGATAACGCCATCAAACGCTCGTCGGTCCCATCGTTTTCCGATCCGTCAGCCCAAATTATGCGGCGCGTCGCAGTCAGCTGCATTATTGCGGCCCGCGCGGCGGCGTCGGCTCGACGGTGCGGGATGAGGGATGCTCTTCTGTGGACGAGTCCCCAGCAGCGCTGGCGATGTTTGGGTGGCCTGTGAGCACAGATCTCTGGACGGTGCCCGATATAGAGGGACGGTAGTCGAGATGGTCCAAGGAGCTGCGCAGTACAAAATGCTGTGCCGTGTGTTACTATAACTGGACATGATTCCGATGTCATCCCATCTTAAAACAGCATGGCTCTTGATACCAATGCATACTGCCACCATTGTAGTGCCATGGCCCTCCAGCATCCATCCCCGTGAGAGAGGATAGTTAACCGATGGTTCAATCCCAGCAGCACGAAACATACATCATCATTATGCTTTCCAACACAAATCTCAGCCAAGAACCAATCAGTGCCGTGGGTACGTGGATAAAGTGGACGTGGGTAAAGACTGAGCCACATTTGCTTCAACTGGCCCGGTGCTCCAAACGAAATCATCAACCAACGTGACACGTGAATGCTTCACTGTGTATGCATGCTAACCCTCATCGCCCTATTCCGCCCTCACCCCTGTCGGGGTCGACACGGGTCTGGACGGGGGCAGGGGCGGACCAAGAGTGTCGGCTCAGCGGCCCGCCTGCTCGTACTGACGGGTCCCGTCGAGTCGGTGAGCTACGGCCACCAAGACCTGATAAGGCTGCAGCACTCACAGCGGCGTCCCTCGGGCCGCAGAGCATGCAAGGTGGCGATGTCAGACCAACTGGCCGAACCTCAGAGGCCCCCGGCCCAGCGAATGCTGTCTGCTTATCGTCCAGCCTCTCACTGCTGTCCACACGTCATTGCAGTCGCGCCTACTCACTGTCGGCAGCGGCGGATGGAGCGTTTGAAGAAGCCGCGGCAGCCGTCGCAGGAGGGCACGCCGTAGTGTTTGCCCGAGGCCTTGTCCCCACAGACGCGACAGGTCAGCTCGGCCCGCCTGTCCTCCATGGTGCCGCGTCGGGGACCGTCTGCGGGGCCCGCGCTCGCTTCCCTGCCGAGGATGGAGGCACACGCATCTGACCATGTCGCCCGCTCAGGGTGCAGGAGCGGCGCTCTCACCCGCTGAGGCCACAGAAGCAGCCCTCTAACCCGCTGAGGTCATAGGAAGGGCTATCTCACTCGCTAATGTCACAGAAGCGATCTTTTAACCCGCTGAGGTGACAGAAGTGACCTTTTCACCTGCTAAGGCCACGGGAGTGACCTTCCCAACCGCTGAGGTCACATGAGCAAACATCTGACCATTCTGCCTGCTGAGGACATAACCTAGAAAACTTGAGGACCGATCATTCGTTGGGGACCTGGTCACACACATCCTGCTATTTTTCTTACAATAGGGCAAACATCCCATCAACCATGTCATGGAACATGCATTCTAATACAAACCCGAGGAATAATCAGCGTGCATGAATGACATACTTGCTCAGATGAAGGTACATGTGAGCATTGCTTGCATGTTAACATACGCACACTGTATGTTATATTGTATTTGTTTGATTGGTGACGTTTTCCGAACATGTTAATTGGCCGCTTCTCGGTCGATTGCTGGTGCATCTTATGGGTCGAACAGCGTCCGAGAAAGCCTAGTGATCTGGGGACGGCACTGTAAACTACACCATCCAGATTATTTCACGCCTGGTTGCCTGCCCTGCTTGCCTAGATCCGAAAGCAACTCCTCAACGCACCACAAATTCGCGGATTCATGGTTTGCGTTGGAGTGCGCAACACTAGCTGCACATCACTTACATCACTTTTTTGTGCGGGCCAACAAATTTCAAGATTGTTTTCCTAGAAATTGCAGCTTCGTGGGTATAGAAATTTCATTGGCGGGCACGTTAGTTATATTTCATCATGTTTTGCTGACCACATTTCACCTATCGACGTTGACCAAGAACAGCAAACATTTAACATGATTGTTGCAGTGAGCAGGGTTTGGCAGCTGTCAGAATGCGACTTTCAGATGTGAAGTTTTGTTCCTACGCGTGGAGGTACAGCGCGTTTGCACACAACAGTTTGACAGTGCCCGGAAAGGCACACGGCATGACCACGATGGCGTGGAGAATCATTGCAGTCGTCAATCTAACTGCGCAGGACGGCTGCCGCGCCGTCAGCAGCTGAGACGTGACCATTGATCTAGAACGCGTCCTGCCTCTAAAAGCCGCCGCACACTGACCAATCGATTGCCACATTCGGCTGAAACAGAAACGCTTGTGAACGACTTTTGGGGCGTGGGGGGGGGGGGGGGGGGGTAACGACAACTCACTTTATTTTGGCCGCGTCGCGAATCGGGCTCAGTCGCTGGAGCTGCGTGACTGAAGTTCAGGATATCGTTAGAAGCGACAGAGAGAGCAGCGTATCGTCCTGGGATGGCAGCAGCTTTGGGGGGGGGGGGGGGAGGAGGCATTATATTGTGATGTCGCGGACGGCTGGGTCCTTAAGACCAGGTACCTATAAATTCATTGAGCTATGTTTACCAGCTCCCGGTAAACCCGGCCACTGCCTCGGTGTCGCACCGGCGAGCGGCACGCTCCAACCGAAACAAAAAAAAAAACATGAACACAGAACAGAACAGATCACAAGAACATGCGAGTCGAGCATTTCTGGTTCAAGCAATGTTCAGCTTCGGCACTAATGTACGGGACGAATCATGTGCGTGCGAATGCTTTTAGACAGAAGGCAGAGATCGGACAAAAGATGAAATAAGACAAAATCACAGCAACTTTTTGTCAAATAAGGCAGCCAGATCACCTGCATACAGTGTCCTTCAGGAGCGTCTAAGACTTTCCCTTTCGGAAAGCTTCAGCCCGTAATACCTATCAAAGAGGCGCGCTACTTTCACTGCGAAGGAATCGGAAAGCATGATCTTAAGGCTCGAAAGCATGATCTTAACACCCGTAAACGATACACAACCATGAAGCTCTCCAGCGTCCGACGTTCAGCACGAGCCTAGTGCATCTCCAAATCCCGGGGAGCAGGAGCGCGGTCAATGACGGAACGGGCCACGTCGTCATCGCGGCCGGCCGGCCCGACGGCGGCGGCCACGCGCCGACCGCCTCCTCATCGACGCCGACGATCTCTCTGTCGCCGTCGACGGGCCGCCCCGCCCGTCGGCGGCCCATTGATTGTGGGCGGGACTAATCCGCGCCGCCGCCGTGAAACCGAGCCGCCTCTAACGAGCCCCACTCGGCGTCATTGGCGGCACGATTAATTAGCGCGCACAAAGGCCGTCGTGACAGTTTGAGGCGGCTGGTGCGTCGTAATCGTCGCGCTGACAAATGGCTGTCGCCACTCGCGGCGCACCCTTTTGTGTGGGCGGCGAGCCTGACGCGCCGCGGCCGGGGCTCTCTTCGCTCCCGGAGGCCACGGGACGCGTGCATAATATCGGCCCGGGTGGGCGGGCGAAGTCGAAGAATGCACCGCCGGCGGTGGGTGGCGTGGAGGCCCGAGTGGAGCCTGTGGAGCCTGAGGCCGAGCCGGCGGCCTGACGCGTGATGGCGCTGCCAGCGCCCATTGCGTAATGCCGGTGGTGCGTTGTGCTACGCGTTACGCACGTTGCACTGCGCGTTACGCGCATTGTGTTACGTTATGATGTTTGTGTCTGGATAGCATAAGTTAGCTCTCTTGCGGAACTTTTTAAATGTGTTTGAGCTTTAGGTAAGAGGTTCAAGAATGTTTTATGCTGCTGAAAAGACCCTGCAGTGTGTGGATATTCGTGCATATAAATGGCTGCAACTGGCTGAAAACGCCTGTAGCCGTTGCTGTCTATTGAAGACGTTCCTTGCAGCACTATAAATGTCCTAGAATTATGGTGCTTGGCACGTAAACAATGTTGCATTACACAAGCGAGTCTCACCAACTCGTTGGATGATCAAAGATTATATTTCCCCAAAACATGGGGCTTTATGTCGTTTGCAGGATGTACTTTTTGTAACAATTTGATGATTTTGGTGCAATATCGCGCGGGCCGAGACGGGCATTGGGACTCTAATTTTTCCCAGTAGGTCCCATTCGTCTTGCGCTTTGCATCATTTTCAGCTTTTTGACTATGCTATAAGGTCAGAAGGGCTGCTTTGCCGTCTGCTCGCCATTCTCAGGTCCCATGTACTGAGCGTGTAGTAGTGTATGATGATAGAAACAAACAGAAGCACTATGAAAAATGTTGTGGAAGATCCAGAACGGTCAGCGTTGGACCACAAGGTGCATACCAGCGTGTGTGATCTATATCTGCGCCACTTATATTCCAGCGAATAACACAAGCATAATTTTTCGGCGTGGTGAGCGGGGTGACAACAGACGTCAGTCCAGACGCCATGCAAGTGAAATCAAAATCGTATTGAGCCTACACAGCTAGATTTTATCATTGCTTTGGAATATTCCTGTTGCAGGTTTTTTGGCGTGCGGAGGTGTGTTGATGTTAAGTGCTCGCATCTGAACTAATAAATGACCTTGACAGAAAATTGGCTGGTTGTGGGTCTTTGGCGAGGGCCCCCAGTTTAACCAGAGCTGTTGTGCACTGTGAAATGGTTTACGTTTTCGGTGACTCTAGCAAGGGTTTTGCGAAACACGCAGATACTTGATGTGGATGTTGATCACATAAAACCGCGCTGTTTATCAGTGTAATCTATCGGGGCTCACCATTCCTTAGTCCACGGCGTTTCTCACTTGAAGTCCGCCTAGGAAAACATGACATTGGACGGTTCCGGACCGATTACTGACGCACACGTGGGTCGGCCAGTCCTGAGGCTGTCAGCGAATGGTAAACAGTACGTCACCTATGCCGTGCAATTGGTGTCACATCGTTACTTGTTCGGTCGCAAGATGCAACGTCAATCCCTAAAAGCGCCCAAGACGGGCGCATCAATGTTCAGTGCATAACAGTGTGCGGTCAGATGCCAGTCTCGATCTGCAACTCCAGTGGACAATGATACTGCCAGTATCATTGTCCATTCACTCCGCCGTCTGAATCGGGCCGTCTCGAATTGCCGCGACGACGTGTTGCTGAGATAAATGACTTGAGGAAATAAATGAGTAGGTAAAGGGTGTTGCAACTGATAGGCAGTTTATAGGAGATGGGTATGATCATGCCGTGACGGGTTGCGGGTGGATTGGGTCGAGAAATCCTTACTACAAAAACCTCTAGATAGAAAAGCTTCCAAAACTCATCGAGTCTTTTTTACTGCCTACGCTCAGGCCATTTATCGAGGTAATTTGGAACTGCGCCGCTAAACGTGCTGGGGTTACGTGAGGTTGAAGATCGCGTGGACCCTACAGAAGTGGAGCCTGGGGCGCGCTAACGGCACGTCATGGACCGTGTCGTACTATGCGGTGCTGCGTTGATCACGATAGTCTAGTCTCGCCAATGGTGAGTGATAAGTACCACGAGTTGATTGCAGGTGCCCAAACAAGCTGCAATAGAATACTTTAATTATTCAATTAAAGGTCATCTGGTTCCGTAACCAGACACAGTCGGATGCGGTGCTCACCTGCCTATAGGGCCAGGTGAGGAACTGTTGGGGGGTGGGGGGGGGGGGGGTCTCCAGGGTAAGGTGAACGACTGACGACCGATCACGTCTATCACTGGGCACTGCCGCATGTCATGCTTACCGGGGGTTACAGGACAAAACGTCAAGATACAAAAAGTCAAAGGCCAAAAAGTCAATAGCAAAAATCCAATGGCAATTATTCAAACAAGATCAAAGTAAATACAAAAAAGACGAAAAACCAAAGTCAAAGGGACAAAAATTCAAAAGGCAGGAGTCAAAAGAATAAAAGTGTAATGCACCTAAAAGCGATAAAAGCTAAAAAATAAAAAGTCAAACGGGGGAAAAACCTCATACAGATGGAAGCCAAGGATAAACGTCAAACGCAAAACGTCAAAAAACGAAATGTCAAAAGTGATAAATGTAAAGTGGACAACGGCAGAAGATGCTATAAAAATCACTTCTCTGGTTTTCGCAGTGCTTCTAAATACACCAAGGCCCTCTGGTCGGGTGT